ATATATGGTGTGTGTGTGTGTGTGTGTGTGTGTGTGTACACTGTATATGTGTGTGTGTTATCGGTTATCGGTATTGGCCTTTAGGAGATGAAAGTTATCGGTATCGGTTTAAAAGAAAAGTTATCGTGCATCCCTAATCATAACAGAACCAAAGGGGAAATATTTGGTCAGATACTGAATTGGTGACTTTATTCTTGACCTTGAAACTGTGCTGATTGTATAGAGCTTATGTGCTATCGGGGGGAGATGTGTATGGAGCATCCATGTTTTCACAGACATGGATGTAAACAGTGAGAGAAACTTGACTGGTTCACAGAGACATAAAACCGCGAAGCAGTAAATCTAGTTTGTGCTGTTGTAGCTTCTTCCTGGTTTTGTTGGCTCCCTGTCCCAGCCTCTATTACTCTTTTTTTTTTTTCTTTTTTTTCCCCCATTGCTCTCTGCAGCTGGAAAACCTTGGGAATTTCATCAAAGCTATCCTGGCCTATGGCCTAAAGCCCAATGACATCTTTGAGGCCAATGACCTGTTTGAAAATGGGAACATGACTCAAGTCCAGACCACACTGCTTGCACTGGCAAGCATGGTGAGTGAACATACAGTTCAGAGGTTTGCTGTCTACTGAGAAACACATTTTCTGTTGTTGTAGGAAACAAATCCAGCATCACATCAGTTCTTTGACCAGCATGTCCCGTCTGTTAGGCAAAGACCAAAGGTATGGACACAAAGATCGATATTGGAGTGAAATACGCAGACAAACAAGCACGACATTTTGATGACGAGAAGATCAAGGCTGGTCAGTGTGTCATTGGACTGCAGGTAACTATGACTGGTGTTCAAGTGGTGTGGTGTTCAAGTCCACAACACATGAACTTAAATCTTTAGGCTGATGTCACTGAGAGCTAATGTTTAGTTTGTAGCTTTATATAAAACTACTTTAGTGGTAGAGGAATAAACAGATTAAGCATTTTCCTAGGAGCGTGTCATTTCTCCTGCAGTGAAACAATTATTGGACTCTGACACTCTCTATTAAAATCCAGACTAGGGTAGGTTTAGGAGCTCTTCCAAACAGGACGAACACCTGATGAACAAAAGTTTCAATAACCTTTACTAAAAATGTCAGTAGTTCATCTTAGGGTTAAAGGAGTTAAGTGCAACACACACCGCCACCATACGCCACGCGTCAAAACGCCCGCCTCCATTATATTCTATGAACAAACCCACACCGGTGCCAGCTGACGCGCCGCGCCGCTCTGCTTCAGCCCACTGCTCTATTTCCAGCGCGGCCGGCGCTGCAAGAAAAGCCTTTTATGTACGTCTCGGCCGCCGTAGTATCAACTCCGGTTGCTTCGAATTTTTAATAAGACGATTTTGATGAGAAACTCACCCGTGAATTCGAAGTTGTTGTTGCCTCAAAGTTTTTCCTCTTCTTCTGTTACTAGCAGTTGGCAACCATTGGCAACTAGTGTAGGTACAGCCACCTAGCAGGCTGGGCTGGGAGATACACTTTAGTGTCAACGTTGCCGCTGCCAATGTGTGTTGGGGGGCGGGATTTGAGAGATCCTACTGCTGGTCTTTTGTCCTCAGATGGGGACAAACAAGTGTGCCAGTCAGGCTGGAATGACTGCTTATGGAACCAGAAGACATCTGTATGATCCAAAGACTCAGACTGACAAACCCTACGACCAGACCACCATCAGCTTGCAGATGGGAACCAACAAAGGAGCCAGCCAGGTTAGAACCCACTTCTCCTCTAATGCTGCTCTCATTGGCTCTTTTTATTTTTAAATAATCCCTTAGAGGAGACCAACATTATTTAGTCCTTTACATGACAACGAATGTTTTCCATATAGCCAAAGCCTGATGAAGCTTGGTGACACAGTTCCATAGTCACACTGCTGAGTTGCTATGTTGAAATGATAAAGCCATGTTCTTCATCCTGGAAAATGGAAGAGTAGTGTTTATACTGGGTCATTTTATCCTGTCTGAATCAGTAAATATGACAGTGCTGCCAGTTTTGTGCATTAAAGGATAACTTTGGTATTTTTCAACCTGGGCCCTATTTCCCCATGTGTATGTGTGCGTATGATTCATAGGTACAACTTGTGGGAGGTGGATGCAACCGGGAGCCGCGAAACGAGCTAAAACGGTAACAGGGGCAAATGCGTCCCGTATAAGTTTGCGCATTAAAAGTGCTTTTTTTCGCCACTGACTGGTTCAGATCGCCAGTGCTATCTCTGTAAATAGCATACTGAGCATTCCCCTTACCTCTGGGCTGTGTGACGTCATCTCGATCGTGAGTCGCGAGAGCTTTGCTCCACTGTGTCTGTAGCTCTCTTCACTCATGGGACAGCTGTTTTCTTGAGGAAGAGGTGTTTCAGGATTGGATGTCTTCTCTTCTTCGGCTGGCAGTAGTCAACTTGGGAGAAGTGAGCACTGCAGACCCAATGGTCTGCAAGGCGCAGTGTCTGGACAGGAGTGTTAGCATCCATTTGTAGCACAACTAGCCACAACTTCAGCATCTCGGCATCCGACAAAGGCAGCCTATGAAAGCTGTATGGGGTGTTGCGCGACATCCTGTTCTTGCAATTCAGATAAGCACAAACATTGTTTGTTTTCAATCGATGCAGTAAAACTCTCAACTGTACTCCGGGACAACCAGCACCACTCTGAGCGGCGCTCAGCATGGCTCCTGTGTTTTCTTCCGGCAACAAGCAAAGCTCTCACGAGATGACGTCACACAGCCCAGAGGTAAGGGAAACTCGCGGCTGCCGGCTGCATCTGCCTCCCTCAATACTGAACCAATTTTAAAACGAGTTGTACCTATGAATCATACGCACACATACACATGGGGAAATAGGGCCCAGGTTGAAAAATACCGAAGTTATCCTTTAAGTGTAGACCTGATTTCACCAGATGAAACCAAGCAAAATGAGAGGACTGTTTCAAAGAACAGTTCTACATCTCGTGGTATCCATTCATGCAGTTAGATTTAGGTTTATATCTGTCTATGAGATTTCTGCATCCACCTCAATACAGGTCAGGGGAATGGAATTTAATTTGTGCTGATCACAGCATCAAAAAATAACATGTCAATGTTTCTGATAAAACATGTAGGCGTTTACAACGCCTACTGCCAGTTTGACTTGTCAGAGTGACTACTTAAAGACTCCTCACGGTGGCACTTATCAAATGAATGAGGGTAAGGTGAACAGAAGTTGTGGAAAAATTGCAGACAGTGGCCATTGTATTGATAAGCTCTGATGTTAGTGTATCTTTTATCAGCACTTTATAATGTTTTGCTGTAATATCTTATCACTCTTTAGCCTCTCCTCTATTCTCTGTCCAACAGAGCTCCCACACATACAGACACACACAAACACACAGAGTAAACAGCAGAGCAGAGAGGCCTTGGTGGAGAAGTCAGCTGGTGAGGTGAAGGTAACTTAAGTTGACAACACCTCTGTTCATTGCTGTAAGTCAGGGGTCTTCAAAAATTTTCAGGTCAAGGGCCCCTTAGCTGAAAGAGAGACAGAGCAGGGAGCCCCTACTACATATATTCATAGACTGTATAAATAATGGACAAAGCTACCGTAATGTCACCCATGTGGATTCCAGTTTTTGTAGGCCTTCAGTTCGCCATTTCCAGTCCTGTCTTGTTTTTTGGAGCCAGAAGTGACCATATTTGGATGAGAGGGTGGAGCTGTGGAGGAGCGAGGGGTGGATCTGACCTCACAGACTGTGGTGACACCTCGCAGACAGTCTGTCACTCAAGCTGCCCCGCCTTTACATATGTGTAAATTTGGGCCTTAAGGAATATCAATAAATGACACTTGGGAGGAAAAAAAACAAGTGTCATGGAGCGTAGTTTCTGTGGGCTTCAGTAACACTTAAGCCCTGCGCTTGCCTGAGAAGGACTAAATGCACAAACCGCTATTTTTAGATATCCATGAGAGAGACCGTCACTGCAGCCTGTTCTTTTTTGTTCTGAAAATGTGGGTATGCAACCCCATTCTATGGATGATAAATTAGGTGCAGACTTCCATCTGTGTCACTGTTGAAGAGCCAGCAAATACAGCGAGTGCTGGATGGAGGAGTGAGTGACAACAACCCCACCCACATTTACGAGTACAGTTTGTGGTGGAATTGCAAAATGGGCCTAGGGTCTAGGTACCATGTCTGAAGGTTTACTGTTGGCACTATACTTTAAGTGTTGGTGGAAACGGGGCTATAGCTAACACTTATTTCTTTTATGTATAAACCAGAATGCTTAGATTTAACCTCACCAATCTCTTTCATTTGACTTAACAGGACTAATACTATAGAATACACACACACACACACACACACACACACACACACACACACACACACCAACATCCAAACTAATTGTTGATGTTTGGAAAGTGAAATTCCTTCCCATTCTAGCTCAATACACGACTCCAGTTGCTCAACAATCCAGAATCACCACTGCTGTATTTTGTGCTTCATAATGGGCCACACATTTTAAATGGGAGTCAGGTCTGGACTGCAGGCAGGTCAGTCAAGTACCTGCACTCATTTACTGTGAAGCCACGCTGTTGAAACACGTGCAGAATGTGTCACATTGTCCTGCTGGAATAAGCAGGGACGTTCCTGAAAAAGACATTGTGTGGATGGCAGCATATGTTGCTCCAAAACCTGGATGTACCTTTCAGCATTCATGGTGCCTTCACAGATGTGCAAGTTACCCCTCGCCATGGTCACTGACACACCTCCATACCATCACAGATGCTGGCTCTGTACTTTGCTCTGGTCTCAATCTAGATGATCCTTTTCTTCTTTAGCTCTGAGGACACGTCATCTATTATTTCAAAAACAATTTGAAATATGGACTGGTCAGACCACAGCACACTTTTCTACTTTGTGTCAGACCATCTCAGATGAGCTCAGGCCCAGAGAGGTCTGCGGTGTTCTGTTGTTGATGGCTTTCACTTTGCATGGTAGTCTGAACTTGTTTGCAGGTGCAGCGACCAACTGTGTTTACTGTAGGGATTTGCTAAAGGCAAGCTGGTTATTGACCAATGGTAATTAATTAAGAAATGAAATTATTAATGTGTATTAATAATTTGGGGCACCACCCTGGATACAGGGATCAATGACCAACCAATTTTGTGTGTGTGTGTGAAGGGAGAGAGGTAGAGGGAAAGAGAATGTCAGGCGTGGCCTCTTGGGGGACACACCACGTCACTCCAGGTACTGATAAGAGTAAGGCGGGAGATTTGAGGGATACTAGAGCAAGACGATGGGTCATAAAACAGCTGGCCACATGTGCACCTTTAAAGTACACACAAGATGGCGTCCAGCGGGATCAAACACACCGTATGCTCTAACAGAATAGCTGTGCCAACACGTGTAGGTGTGTAGAGTGTGGTAATGGCAAACTGCCCTTGAGGAGTTGCTCACAAGGCAATGTGTAATTTTACCACAGGTATAAGGTGTGTGTGTGTGTGTGTGTGTATGTGTGCATGTAGGTTAGTTAAAAGAGAGGGAGAGAGAGAGAGACGAAAGGCGAGCGGGCGCTCGTAATCAGTGCGAGGTAAAAGTGGCCGTGGAGGAACACAATGGTCACTTTCCTATCCCTCAGAGGCCAGTAGACTAACTGGGTCAGCCTACCGTCCACTGGTCTTTGTTACAGATTGGAATGTGGCGTATTGTGAGCTTGCGGCCGGCACACTAACGGCACAATCAATTTGCTCTGGCGAGCGCAACAACAAGCAGCAATCAATGATCAGATTATCAAAGAAAGGGACACGGCGGTCCTCAAAGTTCACAAAATCACAGTTAAAGTCACTCTTAAGTCACACGCTATATATAAAAGTCTCTGTCCAGACTGAAGCTCTCTTACTTGAGTCGCCGGTGCGACGATGTGTGTCCCATCTGTTGCTGTGGGATGAGTGCGCGGCCGCTGTAGCATCCTACAGCGGAATGAAAGATGCTGTCCTCGGTGTGGCAGAAGAGGGATCAGCTGAGTTGACTTGATTGAAGAAACGGGGCCTTGGTGGCTCCGTCTTCCTCATGAGAAAAAAAGGGGGTTCTCCAAAATCTGCAGATGCTGAGGAACGGCGGGGTTGTGCGGCGTTCCTCTGGTGCTCCGTGGAGTGTTAAAAACAAAAGAAAAAGTGTCTTTTCTCGTCCAACAAGTCAAGAAACAAAGGGCGGCCTAGGTCGGTTAAATTCAAACATTTGAGGTGCTCCCTAGCAGTAACTTGCGCACAGAAAGCTTTGGCTTCCTTCCAGCAGCTCGTCACTCGGGGAATGCGAGGGGCGTCAGCGCGCAGCGGCAATTAAAATCTCAGTGACGTCATAGGGGATTCCTTCTGACTCCACCTGAACCTGGCTGCTGTCGCCCAATGGGGAGCAAGAGTTTGAATTTCAAAAGTGGTTTACACTTTTATAGCTACCGGACCAATGGAAGCTTAGCGCGTTTCCTTTGTTCTTAGACCAGCTGTTTTTGTCAAGGCCTCTCTATTGTTTAAAACATGTGGCTGAGGTCCCAACATTACTGACAGTGGTTTTCCAAAGTGTTCCTAAGCCCATGTAGTAATATCATTTATACAATCAAGTCCGTTTTTAAGGTAGTGCTGCCTGAGGGGTCAAAGGTCACGGCCATTCAGTGTTTGTTTTCAGCCTTGCCCCTTACGTGCAGAGATGTCTCTGGATTCTCTGAATCTTTTGATGATATTATAGATTGTACATAGTGAAATCTCTAAATAGCTGCAATTGTTACTGCAAAGTGTGTGTGTGTGTGTGTGTGTGTGTGTGTGTGTTGTAAAGAAGCACTAAGCTAAGTTTAGAGTCTATGCACTGCTTTGCATATTGTTTCTTCTGTTATTGTTACAATTCTAAGAAATACATAATTCTGGATTTTTTAAAATCTTGTGATACCATTGTGATTGTGGGAAGTGTGTCGTAATAGCTGTGAATCATGAGTCACTCTGTGATTCCCACACCTAATGTGGATTATTCTGAGCAACCGGGTGTTGAGACCAAAATTAGTCCTGAATTAAAACAAAGCAAGGAGCTGTTTTGGTGGAAGTATGTTGTTTCAGACATATGTGAGACATCAAATTCAATCCAGGAAGTCCAGTTGGAGTAACAGAACCATGAATATGAAGCCTTCTCAGACCCCAAAACAATGCACAGCAATTTATAATGCATTCTACAATGCATACTAATCTATGATGAATGTGCTCCTGCATGCACACGAATGGCCTCTGCAGTGACTTTCCCATTCATGTTGTGTACACAACACAACATCATGTAGCACTCATTGAGCCAGTCTGACCTGTTTTGGCTGACAGCCCTGCATTTTTTAGGCAGAACCCTCTTTGTTGGCACTCTTGCTGCTTCACCGGACTGGCCTCATTCAAATGAGTGAGACAGCTGGGTTTTTCATACAAAGCCAAATTCATTGTGAACGCAGCATAACAGGGACACAGTTCAGAGTTAGACATGTTGCTGTTTATTTTTTTCCCACTTTTTGTTTATTAGTTTTCACAATTAAGAAAGTATGTATACGAAAGTACAAGGAAACATTTTCACCTCCTTGGAAACAGACAGATAAAATCTAGTATAAGATAATAATGTGCTCCCAGAATTAAAAAAACAGCCAAACAGAATTAAAAAAAAATGAAATAAATAAAATAACAGTAATATACAGAGTGTGCACACACGCGCCTGCAGTTAGGAATAGAATTCTATAGCAGATGTTGAACAGTACTACAATCTCATAGCTGTTTAAGGACATATGTAATGAAAGGTTGCCATACGCTGCTAAAATTATTCTTAGCTCCTTGTAGAGCGGACTAGCTTAAAAAACTGTAATGTATCTCCGACCCAGTGTTTAAAGGAGAGAGGGCAGGGGTCACCTGCTTCCAATTAAGTAATGTCTTCTAGCTAAATGGGTGACAAAAGCAATGCACATTGACTGTACCTTAGGGAGATGACTGTCTTCACAATGGAGAACCAGTAACCCGAGAGACCCAAGCAAAACCAAAATGTATGAGCTAATGTTGCAGGTGAATTTTTACATCCGTTACAAGAATTATCAACTGAGGGTTACATCTTTGAGATTCTGACTTTAGACAGATGAAGTCGCGCAGAACCTTCTTAAACAAACTTGTCATCTCTTCTATAGGGTGGAAGGCAGAAATCTCAGCCAGATATCTAAAAACCTGAATACATAATACCCAAATTGGTTTCATAGATAGATAACAGTGGAGTAAGGTGAAGAATTATTACCATTTACAAGGTCACCGTGTTGCAATGATAATTTACAATGTTAAACTGACCCTTGAAAATGTAAAAAAAAAAAAAAAAAAAAAAAAACTTGATTAATGTGAATGACAGATAATCCAATATTAATAGAGTCAAGTCAGGTCAATTTCATCGCCCTAATATCACCAATCAAAAATTAGCTTCAAAAGGTTTTACAGTCTGTACAGCATACAACACCTTTTATCCATAGATCTTTGATGAATTAATCATGAACATCCCCACTGGGAACTTTCCTTAAATATATTAATCTACAAGAATTAGCCCATTTAGGGCAGAGCATTCACTACAGGTGATGTGTGTGTATACTACCTCCATCATGTGGTAAAGTTTCTGCTGCATTTTGGTTTCCTGCAGGCAGGCATGTCAGCCCCTGGTACCCGCAGAGACATCTATGACCAGAAGGTGGTGCAGCAGCCACTGGACAACTCCACCATCTCCCTCCAGATGGGCACCAACAAGGTGGCGTCTCAGAGGGGTATGAGTGTGTACGGTCTGGGTCGACAGGTCTACGACCCAAAGTACTGTGCCCCCCCAACAGAGCCGGTCATCCATGCCAACGGCAGCCAGGGTACCGGCACCAATGGCTCCGAGATCAGCGACAGTGACTATCAGGCTGAGTTCCAGGAGGACGAGTACCATGGAGGTTACCATGATGACTACAGCTCCCATTACAATGATCAGAGCATTGACTATTAGTGGAGAGTTCCACCACCAGATCAGTATTAACTAGTATATTTCATCAACTTCACAACAGAGCAAGTCTTTTGCTATCCTCACTAGTTTTTTTTTTCTTGTGTTGAAGCATACAATGCAGTAGGGCTACACGATATTGGAAAAAACTGACATTGCGTTTTTTTGTTTTGTTTTTTGTTTTGCAATATATGTTGCCATTTTATAAAATACAAGAATTTTCACCAGATGACTTGAATAGCTCTGATTGGAAAGAATTAGGTTGACTCACCACAACACCATTGTATTCATATAATACCCTTCTATAGAGTGTGCCAGGGCTGACGTCAAAACCCGGAAGTTTAGCATCACGCTTGCCTGAGTGTCAGACTGAAGCTTGCAGAACCTTCAATCTGACATTACCTCCACTGAAGGCAATTTACAAGGGGGAGGGAATTTGATTTTTCCCTAACCAATCAGTAGAGATCAACGACTCACCCAGAATCTGACGTCATTAGTATCCATGCCTCGGTGGTGCCGAAAACAAGCGAGCATTGCCTGTTTAAAATGTCTCCGTCGTCGTGCACGCACAGCTGCATCGCCGTTAAATCCAGTTTAGCAGCTTCCTTAATTTGGTCCTCCATTAACGCGAGTAGCGGTGAAATACCTCGATAGCATCGTTAATGTGGTCTGTAGGATCTGTAGCGGTCGCCATTGTTGCTATCCTCACCAGTTACCCACCGGCGTACAGCTTGACATCAGCATGGCGCTGATTGGCTAATCGCTAGACCCGCCCCCACCCCCGGCGTTCATTGGTCCGTCCATCGTTTGGACGAGATAAATCGCAAATTCATTGCAGTATGCCAGACCAGAGATGCAAGCCTACTCAGTTGAGTGGGCGGGGTCTGTGGTCTGGAACCAGGTTAGCATCGCGCTGGTTCTTGGAAGAGAAAGTGAATGTGATTTTTGCATTGCATTTTGGATTATGTCAGAAAATAAGCTCTGTGGCTAACACAAGTTTATGATACTTACAGATTTTGTTCAGTGAGATAATCTTCACATATGAACACCTTTCATACCGCATTTGAAGCTTAAATGCGATTGGCAGAAGTAAAAAGCTAACGTTAGGCTTTAATGGACTACATGACTACTCCACGGTCGCATGACTCTTGACATCACAGCCACTAAGCTTTCAACTGATTTCGGCCGCTTTATTTTAAAAACATTGTATAATGGGGAAATCGGACTGTTTAAGCTAAATAAGAAGCTGTAATGGCGGACTGCCAGCACTCTTGTCTGTTCGGGGGTGATGACGTTTAATGTCCCCTACATGGTTTGTTGTCGTATTGAGCAACTTGTCAGCAATCGCCTTTTTTACGACACGTAAAAGCTTCAAAATTCACAAGTAGGGTATTTACTGACATGTTTTATGTCGTAGAACAAAACCTGAAACTCGCTTAAGCTTTTGTTAACCACAGATCTTATTTGAGGCCACCATGCTTATCATGGCATTTGAGACCATCCAGGCTAAGGTCAGTGATCTAACAAGTCATACTCTAAAATAAGGAGGTTCATCTGTGAATGAAGAAGATTGCTGGTATATAAAAGGGATCCAGGAGGTCATGTCTCTGTACTCCAGATTAAAACAGAGCATTAGGGATATCATCTTTTTTTATATCCGAAATAGTTCCATATTTCGGACGTTGACCTTCTTTTGGGTACTAAATCCACCTTTACCATTTCTCCCTCTTGCATGTCGCTCATTTTCAGTGTGTGACTGCAGAGTGTGTGTGTGTGTGTGGGCGTGCGTGTGTGTGTGCGTGCGCGCGTGTGTGCGCATGTGTCAGAGAGAGGCGAGTGGAGCGGAGCAAGGAGCTTTCTTCAGAGCTGCTTTTCTGAAGCAAAACAAAAGTTTATATGTTCTAAAAAAAGAGAAACATTGCATGTCCTGCGATGTGACTTTCGCACATGCACACATCGCGATGGCGATGTTCAAACGATATATCGTGCAGCCCTACAATGCAGTGTTGTGTTCAGTGCTTTCCTTCTTCACCTAGACCCTTTCCTCTGAGCAGCAAAGGTTGTATGAACTGTAGTGGCATAGAATAATGACATGCAGAGATACAGTGATGAAAAAGTTTTTGATACATTCTTTTAAAAACATACCTGAATGATGGAACACTGAAGTGATAACTTTGTGAACCTGTGATGTAGCATCAGGTGAGACTGCAGCATTCCATGTTTGTATTCCTGGACTGAAACTGGGCTGATGATCCACGTGAAAGGAATTCAATAATAGGCTGAATTATATGCCTTATTTCCCCGTCTGTATTCAGCCACAATAACAGCCACAGTTTGTGATAGTGTTATTCCTTTTATTTCTATTTTTTTTTTTTACTACATTTAATTACTAGACCTTTTTTTTTTTCATTTTATGATAAGCATGGTGCAGATGACCAAAATCAAGCTAACTCTAATTTACAGACAGACGTCGTTGTTTCGTTACATTACATATATTTTCATATTATTTTCCTTATATTTCTAAAGTGTATTTATTGCCATGTCTCGTATTGTAAAACAGTCCACCATTATATGGTTCATAAAGAAAATTATATGTTATGAATAAATCCTTAAATTCTTCTTCTTCATCTGGAAGCGCATCTGCACACTATTGTAACAAACATGTCTAGGAAGCAGGTACTACCATAACTTCTTTAACAATAGCTGGTTGTCTATACAGGAGTTGACTGGAACAAAAACTTGGCCCTGGAATTTTGGCCAAGACCAGCCCACCACTATAGATCACACAAATATAAGTCATCTAAGTCATATTATATGATCCAAAGGTGTAGGTTTCTTTCAGCATTTGAGGGGACACATTAAAGAAAGATTCTTGGGCTCTTTTTTTGAGGGTCAAGCACTTCATTTCCTGCATTCTTTTTATGTCTTTTCAGCATCTATTTCTGGTGGAAATGTCAATCAATCAATCAATCAGTTTTATTTATAAAGCCCAATATCACAAATCACACTTTGCCTCAGAGGGCTTTACAGCATACGACATTCCTCTGTCCTTTGGACCCTCACAGTGGATAAGGGAAGAAAAAAAAAAAACTGTAAAGGGGAAAAAATGGTAGAAACCTCAGGAAGAGCAACTGAGGAGCCAGAGAAGCTAAAACAGGAGAAATGTGATCTCGTTTCTTATTTCCTGTCGGTACATGTGTCGCTGCGTTCTGGATTAGCTGGATTAGAGAGTTTTCAAAGATTTATTAGAGCTACCTGATAATAGGGAATTACAGTAATCCAGCCTAGAGGTATCAAAAGCGTGGACCAATTTTTCTACATCTTTTTGGGACAGGATAGGCCTAATTTTTGCAATGTAACATATATGAAAAAAACACAGTCCGTGAGGTTTGTTTTAAATGGGAGTTAAAAGCCTAATCTTAATCAAATATTACTTCGAGGTATCTTATGGTAGTGCTAGAGGCCAGAGCAATGCCATCCAGAGAAACTATATCATCAGATAGAGTTTCTGAGTTGTTTAGGGCTTAGAACAATAACTTCAGTTTTGTCTGAATTTAACATCAGGAAATTGGAGCTCATCCAGGATTTTTTGTCTTTAAGGTGTTTTGCTGGTAGAAAAGGGCTTAGGCCACAATAATAGCAACCACATATTATTCACCATAAATAGTTTGAATGACTAAATAATATTGTCAAACGTATGCCAGATTAATGTTTCACGGCGTGGATTTTCATTTGAAGTCAAGTATGACCGCTCTCTCCTAATACACTATGCCGCAGATAATACCAGTAATATTTTTGTTAACAATTAAAGGGCCAGTGTGTAATATTTGGCATGGTTTATTGTCAAATCTGAATCTGAATCTTCTGCCCATTTATATGTTTACATATAAGTGTATAATCGCTATAAAATAAAATTTGTTTGGTTTTCATAGCC